CTAGTGAATCTATAGTTAATTGAACAGGTAAACTAGTAGTAGCACATTCAATGTCAAAGAAAGTATAATGTTATTATCAGGAGAGGGAGAATGTTTTAAGTGATTAGCAGCAGTGTGCTAGCTGATGGCCCCCTCCATGAGGTTACTAGCAGAACACCATTTAGCTTCTTCTTGGGAGATAAACACTTCAAGAAAAAGTAAAGTTAACAGCTGAAACAGCAGGAAATAATGCAGTTAGAGAGCAAATTGTAGAAAAAAGTAGTAGATTGTGGTAAGTGGTCACTATATCCTCCAGCAGTCTAAGCCTATAGCAGCATAACTACAGAGTTAACTCTGGATAACCTAGCCTTTTAGGTGGAGGGATGTTGGAGACAGGGCAAGGGAGAGCCGTACCAACTGTATTCTCCACTGTACACTCCTCCTCCCTCTATTCCCCCATTTGTCCAGATATGGGCTAACATCTGAATTTAACCATAGGCCCTAACAAATAATATGTTTTAAGCCTAGTCTTAAAAGTAGATAAGGGGTCTGCCTCACGGATTAAAGCCTGATAGCTAAAAGATCTGCCTCCCATTCAATGTTTATATATTCTGGGAACAAGGTGGACATGAGGTCCACGTCATGAGGCTGGAAATCATTGCGAGTAAAAGCCATGACCTCTGTCTTGTTGTCATTAAAACACTAGAATGTACCTCATTTAAACAGTTCACCAGAGGCTGAATCGTGCCCAATCAACCAACTTAGTGGAAAATAAATTTGACAGTTGTTAGCATAAAAATGAAAGCTTACATTGTGCTTCCAAAACAACATTTCCAGAGGGAGCAGGTAGAGGGAAAAAAGCAAAGGGCCTAAGACAGACCCCTGAGGAACCCCCCATTTCAGAGGAGCATCCTCAGATAAACAAGTGCCCATAGAGACACAAATAGACCTATCTGGTAGGTAAAATCTCATCCACTGCAAGGCATCTCCATAGAGCCCTACCCATTGCTCTAAGTGGTTCAATAAGATCTGGTGGTCTATTGTGTCAAAGGCCACCATAAGATCTAGGTCCAACAAAACCACAGCATGTCCATTGTCTGATGCAAAAAATGCACCATTTAGTACCCAAAACAAAAGTTTTTAAGTGCTGTGCCTTTTTCTAAAACCTGACAGTATCTCAGATGATCTCGCAGCCACACATCTGACAAAGGTGTCCCAACAAGACTGGTCTGCTGCAAAAGATTTGAAATAAAACTAAATGATAAGAATGAAATGTTTGACTCTTAATATAAAAGGCTCAAATATATGTATTACATTGGTATCATCTAGTTCCCTGTTTCCCATCGATATTTATAGATAAGAATAGTTAATTAGTAACATTTTAGTTTTTGATAATGTCACTCTTCTTAGTAAAAATATATCTAAATATATCTACACTTACACCACGATTAGTAGAAGTGATTAATACTGGAAATGCTAATAACATTAATTCTACTGGTATCAATGTAATGGTGGCGTGCATTTTTTGGCATGTATGGCAATAAAAAAATCTAAAATTTTTATTAACCCTCCCACTGTCCTAGTGGGTGGGACCCCACAAGGAAAGTTGACCATTGAGCAGGGTTGATGGTTTATTTCTTGGGTCCATGTGGCAGGGGTGAGGAGTGAGCACCACCTCACCCCTGCCACGTGGACCTCAAGGGATAAACATCAGTCCTGCTCAATGGTCAACTTTCCTCGCAGGGTCACCCACAAAGACAGTGGGAGGGTTAAAAAATAGATACCTTTGTAAATTACTCCAACGGCCTGCCATAGTCTGGCAGCAGTATGGAGCAGACCTGAAGCAACAATCTGAAAGCAGTTAGCTGCTGTGGGTCAGCCCAATACCACCGCTAATGGTAAATGGCTAGGGTTCTACAACTTCCCAGGGCACTTTTCAACTAACCAGTCATTCACCCATGCACACACACATTCACACACTGGCGATGATGAGCTACATTGTAGCCACAGCTTCCCTGGGTCACACTGATGGAGGGGAGGCTGCCGATCAATGACGCCACCAGTCCCTCCGACCACCACCAGCAGGCAAGGTGGGTTAAGTGTCTTGTCCATGAACACAACATCTGCCACAAACTAAGTCACGCATGAACCTGCAACCCTCTGGTTACGGGGCAGGCACTTAACTCCTGTGCCACCAACGCTCACCACTGCAGGCTGCAGACATCTACAAATAAACGAGGTGTGGAAATCTTTCTTCTTCTTGTAGCGCATATTTATTGTTAATTCAATATGAATAGGATCAACATGTTTTTTCTGGTCCCCACTTGATTGTGCTAAATGCTAGCATAAGCATTATCCCACCTTGTGGTGGATTCACACTTAATTCTAAACTTTGGACAGTTTTTGCCTTTTCCAAAAGTTTGGTACTTAGTAGTTTCACTATTTTCTTCCATGGCATCTAGATTACCACATTGTACACCGGTAAAATGCGTTCAGGCTGCTGTTCGCACATTTAACGAAGCCTTGAATCAGTAAAAATTGATAATTAAAAAAAAAATTGATTGAGTAAACCATTCAAGTATTTGTTTCAGCCCTAGACACAATTTACTCTGTTAAGCAGTATGTTCAAGATGTTGTATTTATCTTTTCTCTAATAACACAAAAGATGCCTAGTCCAAAGCTGGTTCATGATGTACAAAAGGTCAAGGACAACCTCTCCTGGTGTTGGGCTTGCATTTTCTACCTAAGAATTGTATATTTTTTATCAATACTTAAGATGACAGACATACACTTTCTAGGAATGCTGCAGAGTTGTAGTAGTTGTTAAAGATGACACAGGTGAGTGAACCATTCATTACACCAGGCTGACTGAGGATCTGACGTATCTCTGAGGTGCTGATGGTGTTTAAAATCTAAAAAGAGAAGTGAACATGTTTATATGGTAGATGAAGTAGTGGTCAGTAGGATTTCTGTAATGTAACTATAGTTATTGGGCAAAAATTTCACAGTTCTCCACATCTGAATGCATGAAGGACAGATTTCTTTTACCTCTGATTTGCGTGTTAGTGGCAGGAGAGAAACAAATGTTGTCAAATCAGGAAAACCAAAGCTGAGGAAGCTATTTTGTAGGAAGATGTAGAAGCTTCCACTGTTGTAACACTTCAGTTGTGTTGGACCTTAGACAAGAATAGATTTTTGTTTTTGGTTGTTGTAAATGTGAACTTCTGTGATCAATATAATAACACACAAAGACACAAACCTTGGAGCAAGAAGACAATGTTGTTGTAGATTTCTGTTTTGGTGTAGTTGCTTAGAGTAATTTGTATTTGATCAAGCAATTGAATCCTAAATAAAAAGGAATTCATTGTTTAAAGTACAGGTGACAAATTCATCATAAACTATTTCAAATCAAACATCTAATTGAATTCATAATGTTATTAACAATCAAATACAGCTAAAACAAACACTTACATTTCCTGGTTGATGTTACAGCTCCTGTTTGTTGCAGTGCTGAATAAAGGCGTCACCAAACCCGGAGGTAAATTGACCAGGAAAGGCCTCATTCGAAGCCTCAGCCACAGCAGGAACTCATCATCACTAACAGCTGGAGAGGACAGACTAGCTCTGTCTAGAATTTCTTGAAGGAAGGCAGATTTCACCTCCTGTGTGTAGCTGGAAGGCTGGGCCTGTGGGGAATTGTATTCAGCATGAAAAGAAGGCTCCCAAAAATTGGTACAAATACTATTTTATTGCCGTGTTGAATACAGAAATAATACAGGGAATCTAAGCTGTGGAGCAACTTGTCTTATTAAGAGAGCATATTTAGATAAAATTACATTTGTAGAGTAGTTAAGAATAATTTACTAATGATACACAGATGCAGTTGCTTCATTATCTTATAGTCCTGTCAATTATCAATTTAATTATAATTCAATTCAGTATATTTATATAGCATCAAATCACAATAAGAGTCATCTAAAAACACTTAACAGAGTGAACCTACTTATCAGAGCACTGACTTCAGTTCATTATGCCAGTTAGTTAGAAGAAACCCCAATAGATTGCATCGAGTCAATGACTTGTGTTAGAGACTGCAATTACCATCCCCATATTAACATGCTAACCACAAGAATGATATTCTTCAAAGAGTAACTTGTAGCGTTTTTATTATTTATTTTTGTTTGTTTTTGTTTTGGTTTGGATAGACTTAAAAGTAGCTGTGGTATCAGCGGAGGCAGATTGGCGATCAGCATCATAGACACAGACACTGGAGATGGAGAGGGAGACAGAAAGCTGTGAGAAGTCTGAGTCTCCTGGTGACTTGGAAGGTCATGAGTGCTGTGAGCTCTGAGCTAAGCGCTGATAAAAGCTGAGAGCAAATAATGTAAAGAAAGAAAGAAAGAAAACAACTTTTTTTATAGGGCCTCTCAAGATAAAAAAGCTTGAGGTGCTTCACAAGACCAAAAAATTTGGAATATGAAAAAGATAAAAAAATAATAAATTAAAATAGATTAAAAACAAAACATGGTTAAAATGAGAAAAAAAACTGTTCAAAAATGGAAGGAAAGGGAAGGAGATAATGAAAAGAGGAAAATCAGTGAATCCCGGGAAGTAGCAGAATAAGGTGAGGGTGGTAATGAAGATCACACCAAAGGCAGATCTGATCTCAGGCTCAGGGAGAGAGAGAGTTCCATTGTCTGGGGGCCACAGCAGCACCGTTGGTCTTTAGCCTGGTGCTGCACAACCAGTACTGGACCTCAGGGGCCTGCTGGGGGTGTGGGGACTGAGAAGATCACCAGTGTATGATGGTGCTTGTTAATGTACGGCCCTAAAAACCAGAACCAGGATCTTGACCAGCTCAGTGGCCTAGGGTAGAGTGTCCACCCTGGGACTGGGAGATCAGAATTTGGATCCCGGTCAGGACATACCAAAGACTTTAAAAAATGGGACCCAATGTCTCCCTGCTTGACATTAAGCTTTAAGGGGTTGAATTGGGAGGTTAAACCAACAAATAGTTTTCGAGCACAACCACCGTTCCCCCATGGGGATGGGTCAAATGTGGAGATGAATTTCATCAGTGTGTGATGAGTGCTATGGGACTCTTAGGAGGTAGAGCAGGTTGCATCATGATTGGAGGGTCATGGGTTTGATTCTAACTCCCACCAGGGGATATTCTGCTGTTGTGTCCTTGGGCAAGACACTTCATGCAACTTGGCTGTATTGGTGGTGGTCAAAGGGGCCAATTGCGTCAAATGGCAGTCTTGCCTCTGTCAGACTGCCCAGGGCAGCTGTGGCTACATAGTAGCTTACTATCACTGGCAGTGTGTGAATGTTAGAGTGCATGAAAGCATCTTTGAGAGTCCTAAAGAGTGCTATATAAGATTGATGTATTATTATTATTGTTATTATTTAACTTTGAACCCTGAAGTTCACTGGTAGTCAGTGGAGCTGGAGCAGAAGCGGGGTGATGTGGGTGTGCTTTGAGGATTTGGTCAGAAGCTGAACACAGGCATTCTGAACCACATGCTGACGGTTCAGGAAGGTTTTGTTCAGACAAATGAAAAGCCAGTTGCAGTAGTGCAGTAGTCTAAGCGTGAGGAGATGAAGATGTGGCTAACAGTCAAGTTCAGAGCAGGACAGAAAGGGACTCAGCTTAGCAATGTTCCTGAGATGGAAGAAGGAAGAGTGGACAAGAGAACAGACATGAGAATCCAGGAGGAGAGCTGGGTCAAAGGTCACACCAAGATTCCTGACAGAGGATTTAGTGTGAGAAGCAAGCTGACCAAGAGAGTCTCTGACTTTGGGAACCAGCTTGTCTGGGGAACAGATGAGGATCTCAGGCTTATCTTCGTTCAGCTGTAGAAAGCTCCCAGCCATCCAGGTTTTGATAGAGTCTAAGCAGGTGTGTAACAGCTGCAGCTTAGACATCTTATTGGGCTTAAAGGAGATGTACAGTTGGATGTCATCCACAGCTGATTTATTGAAAAGGTTAGTCAATGAGGGCTTTGAAAATTAAATTCACAAGTGACAAAAAAATAATATTTACTGTGGAGAAAAAAGATATTAACCTCAATGAGTGGTGAGACTATGTCGAAGAAAGCACCAAGGTCAGCAGTATTGATGGCGTTCATAATTTTTGTCACATCTTGTGTAGTAATTATCTGTGATGGTATTGCTGCAAGCTGGGTCAGCTGACTGAAACTCAGAAGATCTGCAACCTCAACCTAAAAGAGACCAACATAAAGTGAATACTAAGAATCTTGGTCATTAAGGAGTGCAAATATAAGAATCAGAATTCATATTACATAGTTAAAATTCCAAAAGGTTTGCAAATCCTTTAACGTTGCAAAGTCAGAAAAGCTTCCAAGGTTTGTGTGTAACCAATGCCGAATGTCAGTGGCAAATAGGATGCAGCCAGGATCTGCACATGAGAAAAAACAGCACAAACACTTACTGCAGTAACATGGTATGCAACAAAACATTACCCACGTGATCTTGAGAGCCTGATTTTACCCATTGAATCAGTTCTTGTCAGGAAAGGTTTCACAAAGTTAGTGAAGACTTCTTGCCGTTTGCCCATATCCATTAGTGCTGTTTGGTTGCTGAATGACTTCACGCTAAAATTCAGACAGGAACACAAAAATCATTTATTCATTCATCCATTTTCTGTTCCTGCTTATCCACACAGTGTCACAGGGGGCTGGTGCCTATTTCCAGCTGTCTCTGGGCAAGCAGTCTGGGTACACCCTGGATACACCCTGGACAGGTTGCCAGTCCATCACATTGCATCACAGACACACAGGCCAAACAACCAATCTCTCTCTCTCACACACACACACACACACACACACACACACACACACACACACACACACACACACACACACACACACACACACACACACAACACGCACGCACGCACACACACACACACACACACACACACAAGCCTGATGCAACTTTTGTAGGTTTACAGGTCTTTCATTACAACATGACCTTTTTATCTCTCTCTATTTGTTTTCTAGTTGTTTTGTTTTGTTCTAGCTTCAAATTTAAGGAATATTGTAGTCTTATGAACAGGAGAGGACTGTCTATCTGTTAGTTCTGGAGAATCCCAGAATGGCCAGAGCGCTCTAAGGCCAATGGCTGAACTCCGGGGCCATGTCGGCACCCCGTACTCAGAGATCCCCTGTCGTAGGAATGAGCAGACTTTAGTAACATCCTGCATTAACCCCACCCTGGGAAATCTATTTTTTTTAAAAACTCAACTTCAACACCCTCACCCCGCTAATGCATCTGATTGGACTGACGGTGGTTTCCCTGGACTGAATTATTTCCCAAGCCCTTCCCTACTTATCAACCTTTAGTTTTGGTATATTTTATGTTTACAGATGCATAAGCAAATAAAATTTAGTAAGTGAGTACTTAAACCAATAATAAACAAATTTATAAATAATGTCCATTAATTTATTTAGTTAGATTTAAGAGAGATGTTTAGTGTAGAAAAAAAATTCCCTTACAGCTGTTGGAAAGAACTGCAGGTGAAATTCTGGTTCCCCAGTTGGATTAGGAAGCTTTCACTGATGTAGGGTAAAAACGGAGACATCTTCAGTGAGAACCACAGTTGGACAAATGTTGGGTCACTCAGGTTTCCTAGACTGAGGCTGTTCAAGATTCCAAATAGCTCCAGAATATCAGCTCCAGATGCAGTAGTGTCCTGTTATTAAATTAAAAGGTGTAGTTAGCTATTGTTAAACCTTTAGTATTTTTTTTATATTCTACACATTTTGAAAAGCCCTGGGAAATAAACTAAAATAGATATGTCTTGATATTTCACCAACTTCTGCATTATTTTCATTCACACAACGTTATAGCTGTGATTGTCAACTGTACAAATATGTTCAATTTGATGGGAAAAAAACAATTTATCTCATCACCAAGTCTAAGAAGACATTTAAAGATGACTCTACAATCCCTCTGAGGTTTTGTTCAACTTTGGTGAAAAAGTCTTCTGGTAGGCTTGCATTTTTCTTTCTTTTACAAGATAGCCTCTCTACAAATGTGTCCACAGCTGCTGATATCTGAAAATAACAAGGATGGAAGCATAGGAATCAATTTCAACAATTTGCCACCAGAGGGTGGTAATTATCAATATTTCTCAGTAGTGTTTTAACAGCTGCACAGATTATGAAGCTGAGATATAACTTTATTAACACAAATTCTGAACAGCTTACACTGCGGCTAGCGTCTTGTAAGTTTACTCCCCGACAAGATTCTTGGGAGCCATTGTTTGGAATGGAGGCAGTGCTGTAAAACCAAACAAAAAGAAATGAAAGAGAAAAGTTAAATATATAAGTTTAAACCAAAATAATATTCATGCTGAACAGAAAATGTCAATAGAATTATGCAAAATTGTATAGAAATTGTATGTGCTGACCTGTTTTCGGGTGTTTGTAAATCTTGACCAATACCTACGGAAATTAATAAAATAGCTTTAGCCCTTTTTTATATTATAGTACAATACCCAGCTCCTTACATTTTTATAGAAATTGTTTGTATATTTAAATTAATAAAGGAATGGTTTTCCATACCATGTGTTGTGTTTGACTGTAAAAGATTTTCAAAGGACATAATTAAATATGTCAGTAATATAAATGTGAATTTATTAAATAAAGAAATAAGCTTACTGTTGTTGTTGATAACGAACTACACACTGTGGAGGGAAAATTATTTTCTGATCACTATTAATTTTTTCTGTACATCATGAAACCCATACCAAATGCTACAAAGACATTTAAAAAGTCTGAATTCCCTTACCCATCCAGACCACCAAAAGTGGAAGAATGTGCGTTATTTGGGGGCCACCCATCGTCTGACGGTAGCACAGCTCACTTTAGTGACCTTCAGTTCATTTAATTTGCATTACACAAACCAGCTAAAAATCCTTAAAAATAGGAGAAAATATGACATTTCTTTCAAAAATACTGACAAATGTTTGTATCTAGAAACATTCATATCCATATCACATCCCTATATATGTGAAATGTGTCTGAAACATGCTATTCTGAATAAATATTGTACAATTAGGAGGACATTTTAGAGTATGTCAAGTAGCAGTGATTTTAAGCAGTCTTTAAGGAATCTGGCAGCAATGCATGAAGAAATGAAAAACATGCAGCTGGTTGAGCTTACCTGTTTAACTCCTTTGCTCTGTCAGAGGAAAATGAGAATAAAACTTAAAAGGTAATGCATGTATACACTGGGTGGAGCAAGCAAGTCATCAACTGTTCTCAGGTAATGAAGTTACATCAAGAAACAATACTAGGATCTGGACATATAACAAAAGCACTTCTGAACCTGATTGTTGTCTATTTGCCTATTTTAGCATTTAAAATTTGGGAAAAACAGGAAACAAAATGCATCATACACCTTATATGCACATTTGTACATGTGTGCTTAAATGCTCAGGCCTGTATTCAACGTTATCTATCACTTGGACAGTAAAAAGCTGTTCTGGCAGAACAGCTGATACTTTTTATGTATTTAGATGTTTTTCAGTTAAGAGCCTACTTGGTTTATTCCACTAACAAACTGTTTTATTAAGTAAAATTAGTAAAAAGAATCATGCACAAATGTCTCAGAATGCATTTTTATCAGAGGATGTTAAATGCTCAGATTTTTCATTTGACTTTTACATCTGGATGAGCTAGTATTTTACATTAAAAAGACAATTATATCTAGCTAACAAGACACAAAGAACACATATGTTGAAATAGTTTGCTGACTGCTTGATTGTCCTTTGTGTCTCTATGTTTCCCTGCTATGGACTGGTAACCTGTCCAGGGTGTACCCCGCCTGCTTGCCCGGCAACAGCTGGAGATAGTCACTGGCCCTCTGCAACCCTGCGTGGATAAGCAGGTTAAGAAAATGGATGGATGTTTTGCTGGCATTATTCAGGACTTATTATTTATTGTCTCCGTTGCTTGAGGATTTGTTGCTCACTTTTTGACCGGAAAACCTCCCAAACATCCTTTATTGGATTCAAGTCAGACAGAGTAAGTTTCCATTTACTCTTTTCTTTCTTCTCCAATTCCCAAACTTTGATGATTTCACCATTTTGTTGTCTTTAGTTGATTATTGTTTGAGGCCATAATACATGCATACAAAAGACAACAGCTTATTAGTATAATGACAAGACAGCACTACGTTTAACTGATTATTTTAATTCAGTTAAAGTTGTTGCATACTAATGTAGGCAAAGCTTTTATAATTACTGCAGGTTTTATAACTAAAGCTTAGTGATCATATAAACATCTACTTAAAGATGTACTTGAACAAATCATCATATTGCCAGGGGCATTGGGGTTTAGAATCTTTTAAAATCTAGTGGCCTGCATTTTTGATGTAGTAAATTAATGGTAGATACAAAAACAAATTACAAACCCATCCATGTACTATTCTGAAATTAGCCTTTTATTTCTTTTTTTCTGTTTTTATTGAATTCACCTTAACATTGTCACTTACATGATGCCACACCATTCTGTCTTGTCATTATGCTAATAAGCTGTTGTCTTTTGTATGCATATATTATGCATACAAACAAACAATAATCAACTAAAGACAACAAGATGGTAAAATTGTCAAAGTTTGGGAATTGGAGAAGAAAGAAAAGAGTTCACTGAAACTTAACACTGTTCTGAGATACTTGTTTATTTAAAGACCCAAATGCTATTTAAATGATATCTAACAGCCTGATGGTCTCCACTGTGTATATCTGTCAAACATCATACTAGTTGGTATTTTAAGCTTTAACCACTGTACATCTCAAGATTGTGTTCTAATTATACCAAAACTTCATAGATAATGGCTGACAAGATTTTGAGACATAAGGCAAGGAACAGGCTGGAGCACACTACTCGGTTGAGAGGTTTCAATAAGAGGTGCAAACTACCATTTTGACATACATGTCATCATCAGAGTTTAGGGAAATCTCTAATGTCGAAACATTAGTTTGAACATCTGATTAAACCTCTCAACTGAGTAGTGTGCTCCAGCCTGTTCCTTGCGTTATTTCATGTCCTTCGGCTGTAGAGTACCTACAACATCAGTATCAGGTGACATAAAGAGCATCTCCGATTTTACGTTTTTGAGACTGTGATCGGACAGTACCCAGTGTTTCTCCTACATAGGTGTAGCCGTGGCGGGTCGCCACGGCTGAAATCCCTGCGCCACGCCTGCAAGATCCCAAGTTTTATTGATTTTTTGAAATGTTTTTTTTTGGCGCCGTTTCCCGTAGAAGCAGCGGTAACTACTCTGTTGTTGCTTGTGATCACAGCCGGCAGGCAACAAGGAGGAGGAGGTAGGACAGGGTGGTTACAGCTAGGGATGAGCGTATGGATAAAGCATTTTTGATGAATACGAGCATGAAACGAGTAAAACTCGTAAATATCTGTAATCGTGCTGAAGGAAAATCCTCATTGGGTAACTGACTGTCTTCACACTCTGTGATTGGCCAGTTACATAGAGTGCCCGCCCCTCCCTACACACACAACTCTGCAGCCGGGAGCTCAGTCCGTCCGGCCCATCCACGCACTGTTGCTCACGTTTCTTCGGTACTCCCTAGGATTTCTTCAGTTCGCATCTTTTTCAGTTCATTATTTAAAGTAACTTTTTTCGTAACGTACGTGGTGCATTTGACGAGACAGAGCTGAAAACGGCTCGTGCATGCGTCGGTCACTGCCTCCGCTCTGGTCGGGGTTTTAAAAAAAAATAATTTTAACTCTCCCTCTCTCCCTTTCTATTTCTGTCTCACACACACACACACCTTAATCAACATTGTTTTGTTTAACTATGTGTGGGGAAAAATGCCAACGTTTGGAAAAAAATCAGTTTAATCAAATAAAAAAAAATTTTTTTTAAGTTGTGTCTGGTTCTAGTATTTCATATTTCCTAGTTCATGCACTAAATAATAATGTTCTGATTTTACTGAAAAACTTGTTCTGTAATAGTTCCTTTACTATTGTGATCAAAACTATTTAATCTTAATTCTGAGGCTGCTCTGTAAATAGTTTTCAAATAAACAATACACATATCAACTTCTGATCAATCCATATCAATTTCAGATTTAAAGTAATGTATTGATGTAAACCGCACCCACTAATTTCCAAATAATAAATAAGAGGTGCATTCATCTGTGTATCTCCTTTGATCCACATTAGTGATATTTTCAGCACCAGAACAATGAAGCAAACAGATTCCTGAGTTTGTTAGTAATTTTTGGTGCATCTGACCTGTTCTATTTTTCTCTGAAATGAGATCAAATCAGTGCTTCTATGGGTTGTCTCCTCTCTGCACTAGAAACATGTACTTTATTATAATGTTCACTGTAATGCATCTTGATGTTCTTAACAAATAAATTAAATCAAAGATATTGGTCAATAATGCCAAATATGTAAATTAGTGTTTCAGTCATTTTTATACTGGCTTAAAAATACTTCATTAAGTCTACTAAGCAGGGGTGTAGAACATTTTTAATAGGGCCAGCCCAGTAATGATCTTGGACCAAAAAACAGGGGGCAGAAAGTCAAATAAAGGGGGGCAAAAGGAGATGTCTTTCCAGACGCCAAGAAAAATTTAATGCCCCCCCCCCCCCCCTGCCAAAGTGTGTCACTAGAGTTTAAAACAAAAATTATTCTTGTGCAAATATTGGTGTATTCACCTTTAATACTAGTTATTAAAATGCAGCAGTTGCTGGATTGGTGCAGTTCAAAGTGGAGTGCATCAAATAAAACAATATTAATATAAAAGTGAGACGTGTCATAATCCTCCCCCCCCCCCCCCCCCCCCCCCCCCCCACCACCACCACAGCTGGAAAATTTCTTAGGGGGAACACTGAGTACCCATCATAATTAATGCATATTTTCTTTGACAACATTTAAGGTTGGTGAATATTTTTTTAAATGACAATCCGGTGACTGTTCTTAGACTGACTTGTTTTGTTTGACAATTTAATTAATCTTAGTGACTCATCAGTACCAAGAACCCTATGTAAAAGAATTTGAATAGGGGCCAGATTGCAAATTTTGTAACAGCAAAACTGGTATGACCTGAGTGTCGACATCCAGTATCTTTATGAAGTTACTTCAAAGAGGTTTCTTTCTTGGAAAATGAAAATGATTCATTCATATTTACATTCTGAATTGCAGCTTTAATGGTCTTGTTAAGGCCTTAAATAATTGCTCAATTTTATATTGACACAAACAAAAAAATAAATAAATAACCAGACTTTAAGAAAAGCAAAACAATGTTATAAAAGTATTTATACTACCTCCCATACTTTAATGCACCATGTGAAAACAAAACCCTGCATGTGAGTAATGAGAAATGGTTTAGTTTCACGTTACGTGCCAGTCAACACCTGTCAGTTGCACCCATTTTTTGTTCTTGTGATTGATGTATATTTCATACACCCACAAAAAAGTCCAAGTAGTTCACAAGTGGTTTAACTAATTAACTTTACTACAAAGTTATTTTCATGGTCATTTGTACATACAATTTGTTCATACTGCCATTTTGCAACCCCTCTTGTACGAGACATATTTTTCACTGTAATATATTTACTTCAGCCAATGAAAAAGTTGTTAAAATATCAGTGAAGCCAGATTGCAAATGCTGATGTATTTAGTTTCCCTAAATAGTAAAAACAAGAAAATATTGCAGAGGTTATAACATAATAAGTCTATTGTTTATTCATTATTGACATCACTGTGGATGCAGAACTGAATGCATGAAAAAAGAACCTGTCCATTTCTGTTTTAGCGTCACTTGTTATCCACCCACCTCTGACTCATGCAGAGTCCTGCGATTACTGTCAGACTGCTCATTCTGGATTCCAGTTCTGAGTTTACCACTGTGATTTGGCTCACCAAGCAACTGCTGTTGATAGGACTAAAGTATTAATAATAATGCTTAACTTAATTTTAACTTGGGCTTTAGACTTCCCAAAAAAAAAAAACCCAGTCTGTACAGACTTGGTCTCTACAGGGGTGTCTCCAGAGATCTGT